ATAGAGAGCGATTGGTCTGTATTTTAAATTTCTGTACAGAGATGTCATATTTTGACCTTTGATTGGTCTCACGCATTCATGCGATTTCGCAGGTCAGAGTTCACCAAGCTTAAACTTTCCAATGCAGGGAACTGCAAAACTTGTTGCACAATCTTGGGTTTCCGGTCTGACGCATTCGCGTGTGTATGAATGGAAGTCTATGGGGAGAAAAGTCTAGCATGAGCGCAGTTTAGCACTACTTGAAACTATTAAGCAGGTGTCCCTGCTGAATAAAACAGCTTAAACCGGCCTAGGCGGGTTGGCTGGTTTTAACTGGTTGACCAGTCTGGTTTAAGAGGGGTTTGGGCCATTTCAAGGCTGGTTTCCAGCCATTTCTAGCTTGGTCTAGGCTGGAAAATGACCAGCTAAAACCAGCTTGACCTGCCTGGTTTAAGCTTAAAATAACTGGTTTTGGCTTGACTCCCAGCCTGGCATTTTTGGGGGAATGTGGAGACAGCATTAAGAATTCAGCCAGTCACATACGCTCTAGTTGTAGAAGTTCATATATTTTAACAGGTCAGGAGCTCAAATTGTTTCTGAATCTTCCACATATGGACGTGATCGGAACTCCACGCAGCTCCTGGACGACTCTCTATTGAAAATTAATGACTTGTCGTTTGACATTTGACGTGTGCAGTGACAAGGTTTATTTATGTTCACACAGCTACCTTACACAGAAACTAAACTTTAAAATTTGATATTGTAGTGGACAGCCCCTTTAAATAAGTTTAGGGAGTAGTTCACAGGTGTCAAACTCCGTTCCAAAAGGGCCGCAGCTCTGCACAGTTTAGTTCCAACCCTGATTAAACACACCTGATCAAACTAATTGAGTCCTTCAGGCTTGTTTGAAACCTACAGGTAAGTGTGTTGGAGCAGGGTTGGAACTAAACTGTGCAGGGCTTCGGCCCTCCAGGAATTGAGTCTGACACCCCTGGAGTAGTTGATTGGATGAGATTGCAGAGTGAGACATGCTCCCTCAGTTAACTCCATTTAGCCTAGGATTACAGGATTCTTTTAGGATTTCCTGACTTTGTCTCTGACAACCAAATACTGGCTGAAATCGCACATTTTGAGCAGGACTTGAGGTTGAAAATTTAGTCAGGGTCTAATCAAATCGAAAATCCAGTTGTGCTGTTGATCTGATGTGGTTTCTGTCGCTCTTCCTTTAGATGGGGCTGGATATCCCAGACGGTGGCGCCGGCCAGCAGGAATATTACTCCTACATTTGCTATCCCATCAAAATTAATCTGGTGGATCCAAGTTAGTGCTAAAGAATAGACTGATTTTTTTGGAGGTATCTATGTGGCACTCATATTTCTGTTTTGCATCCTGCAAATTTTAAATAAAGCTTGACAAACACATGAGATACATGACTGAGTTTTTATGTCAAACAGGAATGGTTGATGTTGACCTTGTTCTTAGATTTGAGACCCTGGCCAGGTTTTCATCCAACAAAGGCTCATTGTGAAAACATAGCGCTATAAAAAGTTCTGGAGATCTCGAATTATGTAGCCAGAAGTACATATGGCTGCATTTCGTCTTTAACACGAACGCTATGGAGGTGGTATGACGCGCTCACCAGCTGACTGCTTACCTTTGTATGGACGGCTTTCCCGCTGTTACCATTTTGTCCAGTGGCTTGCCATGTAAATCAAGAGACTTGAGATGTAAAGAGGTGTTGTCCACAAGTTCGAGTCCAGAAAAGCACAGTTCCAGAAAGCAGGTAAGACAAAAACAGAAGCCGAAAAATAAAACAACCAAGTAGGTAACAGGTTGAGAATGTGGTAAAAATCAGGCAAGGGTTTTTCTTTTTCTGGATTGCTTTTTAGAACTGTTGGTTGGGTTTAGGGAAGGAGGAGGAGGGTGGGTCAGTTGGTTGGTCGATTAGTCAGTCAGTCAGTGGACAGCGGCCTTTGGTGGATTTATATGAGAACAGCAGGCCAAATGAAGGGAGAAATTTCAGATCTGAAAAAGCGTACACAGCGGCCTCTGGTGGATTCATGGAAAAAAAAAACTGCAAAAAACATAGATCCTGGGACGCATTTGGCGCTCTCCAGAAATGTATACAGAGGTACATTGTTTTCATTTGCTGTTAAGATCCATTTTTATCTATATAATAACAATAAAGGAAGCTAAATTGAGATGTAATTGAGATGCAAGTTAGGCTTTATTTTAAGGTAATGTAGCTACACTATTCATTTAACTAATTAATTACATGTACTTACTATGGAGATGGGTTAGAATGGGGGTTAGGTTTAGGGTTAGTTATATGTTCATTCATTCATTTTCTTTTTGGCTTAATCTCTTTATTAATCTGGAGTCGCCACAGTGGAATGAACCGCCAACTTATCCAGCATATGTTTTATGCAGTGAATGCCCTTCCAGCTGCAACGCATCACTGGGGAACACCCATACACTCTCATTCACACACATACACTACAGACAATTTTAGCCTACCCAATTTACCTGAACCACACAGTCTTTGGACTGTGGGGGAAACCGGGGCTCCCGAAGGAAACCCACGTGAACACAGGGAGAACATGCAAACTCCACACAGAAACGCCAACTGACTCATCCGAGGCTCAAACCAGCGACCTTCCTGCAGTGAGGCGACAGCTCTACCTACTGCGCCACTGCGTCACCCGAAGTTACCTAATTTATTAGGGTTTATTTTATTAGTAAAAATAGAATTCACATCAGCAGTGTTAAAACAACTTCATGTTGACCAAAGTGACCCTTCATGTCACACAACAACTGTCACACTGTGTTAATCAGACAAAACTGAGGCATTCACGCCTACCCCTTCATATTCCCTCAAATTTACCCATTCACTATTCAGTATTCAATAACTCATTCTATAATCATGCTAACAACACGTTAATTCATGGTAGAATCGTCCTAACAACATGCTAATTCATGATGGAAACATGCTTATAACATGATAATTCCTGCTATAATCATGCTAACAACATGCTTATTCATGCTAGATTTATGCTAATACCATGCTAATTCATGCTAGAATCATGCTAACAACATGTTAAATTATGCTAGATTCATGCTAACAACATGCTAATTCATGCTAGATTCATGCTAATACCATGCTAATTCATGCTAGAATAATGCTAACAACATGCTAATTCATGCTAGATTCATGCTAATACCATGCTAATTCATGCTAGAATAATGCTAACAACATGCTACTTCATGCTAGATTCATGCTAATACCATGCTAATTCATGCTAGAATAATGCTAACAACATGCTAATTCATGCTAGATTTGTGCTAATGCCATGGTAATTCGTGCTAGAATCATTCTAAAAATGTGCTAATTCATGCTAGAAACAGGCTAACAACATGGTAATTTGTGCTAATACCATTCTAATTCACGCTAGAATAATGCTAATAACATGCTAATTCATGCTAAATTTGTGCTAATACCCTGCTAATTCATGCTAACAACATGCTAATTCATGCTAGAAACAGACTAACAACATGGTAATTCAAGCTAATACCCCTACTGAAAAAAACAGCTTGAATCAGCCTAGGCTGGTTGGCTGGTTTTAGCTGGTCGACCAGGCTGGTTTTAGAGGGGTTTTGGCCATTTTCAGGCTGGGTTCCAGCCATTTCCAGCCTGGTCTTAGCTGGTCAGGCTGGGAGATGACCAGCTAAAACCAGCTTGACCAGCTTAGCCAGGCTGGGAGCCCAGCCAAAACCAGCTATGTCCAGCTTAAACCAGGCTGGTCAAGCTGGTTTTAGCTGGATTTAGCTGGTCATTTTCAAGCCTGACCAGCTAAGACCAGGCTGGAAATGGCTGGATACCATCCTGGAAATGGTCAAAACCCCTCTAAAAACAGCCTGGTCAACCAGCTAAAACCAGCCAACCAGCCTAGGCTGGTTTAAGCTGGATTTTTCACCAGGGACCATGCTAATTCACGCTAGAATCATGTTAACAACATGCTAATTCATGCTAGAAACATGCTAACAACATGCTAATTTATGCTAGAATCATGCTAATTCATGCTAGACTGGCTTGTTTCAGTCTTTAAATGGTTACATTGTTCACTGCAGGGATCTTAATCATTATTTTAGCCCACTTGATACTGTTTGAAACTAAAAAAACTCCTTCTAACAGGCTTTGTCAAGTCACCATAAAGTTTATCCTCAAATTTTAATATCAGTTAGTAATTATGATCTTATTTTATATCACCTATCCTACCCAACACCTTTACTACAACCTTACTAACTATTAATAAGCAGCTAATTAGCAGTTTACTGAGCTAAATGTGTTTGTTAATGCTTTGTTATTAGTATGAATTGTACATTAATATACAGTGTGTCCCAAATAAACAGAACAATAATGTTAATAACACCACCACCCTCACCAAAAGAAAACAATCTCCTTTGCATTTAAAGCGACAGTCACCAAAAAAGATCAAATCTGGGTCAGTTTCAGAGAGTTGGAAAACATTATCTGTAAGGTATTATGAGCTGAAGCTTCACAAACACACACACACACACACACACACACACACACACACACACACACACACACACACACACACACACACACACACACACACACACACACACACACACACACACACACACTCTCTAAGGACATTTCATCATGGTGAAAGGGCATAATGGGACCTCTTTAAGAGAACAGTCCTGTAAACCTGATTCATTCATTCATTTTCTTGTCGGCTTAGTCCCTTTATTAATCTGGGCTCACCACAGCGGAATGAACCGCCAACTTATCCAGCACGTGTTTTTTTACCCAGCGGATGCCCTTCCAGCCGCAACCCATCTCTGGGAAACGTAAACCTGATTGTATATAGGTTAATAGAATGATCAGATATTTCCATGTGGGTACGGATGAACTGTCTGTGGTGTAGGAAGAAGAAATAGACCTGAAAGATGAACGTCACCAGATAGCAGAACAGGTACAGACACACACACGCACTCACACACATAAAGAGCAGAGCAGAGCAGAGCCGAGCAGAGGAGCTGTACTCCACGGCAGGTGCTTCACAACTCACAAAAACAGGTATATGCATTATCATTATGACTGTTGCGCTTTTATTATTATTATTATTATTATTTTATTATTGATTATTGTTTATGTATAGTGTTTTATATAATACATATTTACATTATTAAACTATATTAATGGTAAAAAGCCGAATTAAAATGCTGTAGTAATTTATACTATGGTGTTTTTGAACCATACTGCTGTAAAGTGCTTGAATTAATCTGTTGTGGTGATTCCACAGTTGCTATGGTAACACGACAACTATTGTAACTGATCTGTTGTGGTGATTATACAGTTGCTATGGTAACACGACAACTATAGTAACTGATCTGCTGCAGTGATTTTACAGTTGCTATGGTAACACAACAACTACAGTAATTAATCTGCTGTGGTGATTCTACAGTTGCTATGGTAACACAACAGCTACAGTAATCTGTACAGTAATTCTCATTAGATTATATTAAACTGTTAGTTTAATATAATCTAATGAGAATTAGTTGCAATGTAACTCAAGTTCAACAAACGGACCATCAAAATAAAGTGTGACCGAGTATATTTATAACAGTTCACTACCGATACAGTATTTTGTAGCATTCATTAGCATAGAGTTGTAAATACTATAATATAAACAGGATAATTCATTAAATTGACTATACTCTGTAAAAATTGTTGGGTTAAAATATCCCAACATATAACCCAACTATAGGTTGTTTTAACCCAATGCATTGTGTTATTTGATCGAATGTTATTTTTTACATTCTGGTATTACTATTGAAGTACTGCTATTCATTTTAGAATTATGGCTGTGTAAACAAATAAATGTCTCTAAAGGTGAGAATGACAGCCGAATATCCCCAAATATGTGTATCATTTCCTCCCCAAAAAACTGTAGAGAGAACACGGGAGGTAGAGAAAGCATTTTATCTGCTACAAAAGCGTGCGTTTGTATCATCAATAATTAAGAGTGCTGGTGAAACAAATATAACAAACACGACACAAAGTCATTTAATAAAAAGAAATTACCTTATTGCGTTAGAGGTTAAATAAACTTTATACCGCAAAAACATTACGCTGACTGCTGAAATACAAATATTTAACCCAACTGGTTGAGTTATTAATAAATAACCAAATGAAGGTAAAAAAAAAAGCACCAAATTTTTAACAAAACTGGTTGAGTTATTAATAAATAAACAAACAAAGGTTATAAATAACCCAACAAAGCACCAAATATTCAACCCAACTGGTTGAGTTATTATTAAATAACCAAATAAAGATAAAAAGCATCAAATATTTAACAAAACTGGTTGAGTTATTATTAAATAATCAAATAAAGGGTTAAATTAACCCAACAAAGCACCAAATATTTAACCCAACTGGTTGAGTTATTATTAAATAACCAAATAAAGATAAAAAGCATCAAATATTTAACAAAACTGGTTGAGTTATTATTAAATAATCAAATAAAGGGTTAAATTAACCCAACAAAGCACCAAATATTTAACCCAACTTGTTGAGTTATTATTAAATAACCAAATAAAGGGTTAAATTAACCCAACAAAGCACCAAATATTTAACCCAACTGGTTGAGTTATTATTAAATAACCAAATGAAGGTAAAAAAAAAAGCACCAAATTTTTAACAAAACTGGTTGAGTTATTAATAAATAAACAAACAAAGGTTTAAAATAACCCAAAAAAAAAGCACCAAATATTTAACCCAACTGTTTGAGTTATTAATAAATAAACAAACAAAGGTTATAAATAACCCAACAAAGCACCAAATATTTAACCCAACTGGTTGAGTTATTATTAAATAACCAAATAAAGATAAAAAGCATCAAATATTTAACAAAACTGGTTGAGTTATTATTAAATAATCAAATAAAGGGTTAAATTAACCCAACAAAGCACCAAATATTTAACCCAACTTGTTGAGTTATTATTAAATAACCAAATAAAGGTAAAAAAAAAAAGCACCAAATTTTTAACAAAACTGGTTGAGTTATTATTAAATAACCAAATAAAGGTTTAAAAAAAAAAAACATTTAACCCAACTGTTTGAGTTATTAATAAATAAACAAATAAAGGTTATAAATAACCCAACAAAGCTATTTAACCTATCTGTTTGAGTAATTATTAAATAACCAAATAAAGATAAAAAACACTAAATATTTAACAAAACTGGTTGAGTAATTATTAAATAACCAAATACTGGTTATAAATAACCCAAAAAAGCACCAAATATTTAACCCAACTGGTTGAGTTATTATTAAATAACCTAACAAAAGTTAAAAATAACCCAACAAAGCACCAAAAATGTTAAATAAACGACTCAATGTTTTTTAGATTGTAGTGTGGTTCAAAAACACTATAAATGACTATAGTAATTATTTATGTGGGAACAGTGTTAATGCTGTAAAATGAATCTGTTATTAAGCAAATTCAACTAAAAAAAGTTTTAGCAGTAAAACTAAACTGAAAGCATTTGTATAATGAAATGAATATGTAATTTATTATATATTTACCAAATAAATGTTTGTCATTTTCATTTAAATAATAGTTTAATTGTAATAGTTGTGTAATTGTTCAAATAATTACAATTAAAGTCAAATAACATGAACATGTTTAATAAAACAAACACACAAGCTAAACATAAATATGCAAAACAATATTGTAATAATAAAAATGTGAAAAGCTCAAAGTAATTCTAAAACACACAGCTGTATCTCAATGATACTTAAACACATTTACACAGTAAACAAATATCAGTGTTCAGCTTTAAACCTAAACATGTGTTGTGTTTAAATGCTCTTTAATATATAAAAATTGCGACATTGATAAAACAAACATTGAAATAAGGTCTCGTCATTTTATATTTAGCTACCGAGTATAATATATGAGTTGGTTTCAATATTCAAAATATTGCATGTACATAAACATAACAAGGACAAGTTAAATAAAGTGCTTCCTAAATATTCTACTATGAACATGCTATAATTAGTTTATAAAGTAGCATCTAAAACATACAGTGTTTTGTGTAATGAGAAGTGCGTTCATGCATTTTACTGTACACCTGCAGTTCCTGTAAGTCAAGAAGAGAGTAAAACAAGCTGCTGAGGTATGGAAGATCTGTTTGTTTTGTAAAATGAGGCCGTTGTTTACTTCTGTATTCATTTAATATAACAAAACTATTAACATTATTTTCTTTTCAACTTATTAATCTGGGGTCGCCACAGCGGAATGAACCGCCAACTTGTCCATCACATTTTATACATCGGGTGGCCTTCCAGCTGCAAACATCCACACACACTGATTCACACACATACACTACAGACAATTTAGCCTACCCAGTTGACCTGTACCGCATGTTTTTGGACTTGTGGGGGAAACCGAAGCACCCGGAGGAAACCCACGCCAACACGGGGAGAACATGCAAACTCCACACAGAAATGCCAACTGACCCAGCCGAAACCAGAGACTTTCATGCTGTGATGCGATTGTGCTAACCACCGTGCCGCCCCATCAACCAATCAGCATCAATAAATAAAGCACTTAAACATATATACATATAAACATATAACATGTTACAGCATTAATGTCTTAATACAATACAATAATTCACAATAATACAATACAATAATTTTTCTTGCTATTTTTTGTAACCTGTTAAACTGCATATGAGTGCATGAAGACATTAATGCTGTAAGTGTTTCGTAACCAGCATTTTTATTTTAACAATAATAAAAATCTCCTGAAAGAGGACAAACTTTAAAAAGCAGGTCACAAACACTTTCATTATTCACTATGAGAGCTGTGAATCATATCTTATCGGCTATCTTCAGTATACAGACGCCGTCATGATGGAGATATATTTGCATATCTTATCGCACACATGCAATATAAGCAAAACCCGTGAGAGATTAGCACACAAGATTAACAATAATGCAAATAATTTTCTTTAAAAGAGGACGCTTCATGTGAGAGACCTGAACCAAATGCTTTTAGACACAACTAAAGAACATCCAATGGACACGCACTAATGTTTTAATGTATATTATGAAAAAGCTTACAAGCCTAGGAACACCATCCCAACTGTGGAGTATGGGGGCGGCAGCATCATGTTGTGGGGGTGTTTTGCTGCAGGAGGGACTGGTCCACTTCACAGCATAGATGGCATCATGAAGACAGAACATGATGGAGAAATACTGAAGCAACATCTCAAGACATCAGCCAGGACATTAACACTTGGCCACAAATGGGTCTTCCAAACAGACCATCAGCCTCAGCATACTGCCAAATTAGTTCAAATGTGCTTTGACAACGGAGTAAATGTTTTGGAGTGGCCATCACAAAGCCCTGACCTCAATCCTATAGAAAATGTGTGGGCAGAGTTGAAAAAGCTTGTGCGAGCAAGACAGCCTACAAATCTGACTCAGTTACAGCAATTCTGTCAGGAGGAATGGGCCAGAACTCCTTTATACTATTGTGAGAAGCTTGTGGTAGGAGACCCAAAACATTTGACCAAAGTTATACAGTTTAAAAGCAAAGCTAAGAAAATACCAAGGAAATGTGTGTAAACTCTTGACTTTCTAGAAATTATTTTAAAAATCTCTAAAAAAAAAAAAAATTCTCTCATTATTCTGGCATTTAGCAAATGTAAATCATTAAGGTAATCCTAACAGATCTAAAATAGTAAACGTTTAGTATGATTTACTATCCGACATTTAAAAAAATAATCCCTTTTTAGTGTGCATGTAAACTTCTGGTTTCAACAGTATATATTCATATTTACATATTTTAAATGAGGAGGTTATTTATTCATTCATTCATTCATTTTCCTTCGGCTTAGTCCCTAATTGTGACGAAAGTAGAATTCTACTGACATATATTTTACCCTTCCAGCTGCAACCCAGTTCTGGGAAACACCCATACACACTCATTCACATTCACTTACCCGATTCCCCTATAGCACATGTGTTTGGACTGTGGGGGAAAACGGAGCACCCGGAGGAAACCCACGTCAACACGAGGAGAACATGCAAACTCCACACAGTAATGCCAACTGACCCAGCCGAGGCTCAAACCAGTGACCTTCTAACTGTGAGGTCACAGTGCTAACCACTGAGCCACCGTGTCATCCCGGTGTTGTTTAAGTCATTGCTAAACAGAGTTGAAAGTAACAGAGACGACCCTTTCACCGTTTTGTGCTTTAGCTCAAGATGCTAACCTCAAACTGGAAACAACATGGCGTGTCTACAAAACTACTTCATGTAGTTTCATCTTTATATTATTGTTTTAAAAACTGAATCTGATTAACTGATCTGATCTATATATCTTAGGGTAAATATCAACAAAAAGCCAGCGAGCTTCTTGCTGTGCGGCAACAACGCTAACCACTGAGCCACCGTGAAGGAAATTATAATTTAGTTAAAACCTGTATTTAATAATATGTTAAAAAAACAGGCTACGGTTAAAGTAATTATGTAATAAAGTAATGAAGTAAATAATTAAGATGAGCTAGTTTTTAAAACAATAAATAGAAGTTTTAAACAGTGTAAAACTTTTAATTTGATCACTAAACAAATGCACCAGTCATGAAAATGCCTCTTTTTAAAGGGAGAGTTCACACTCAAAAACAAATGTACAGTTAATTAATTTACTTGCCCTCAGGCCATTGCAAATGTAGGATTTCTTCAGCAGAACATTAATTAAAAAAGAAAACAGAGTAAATTACATACAAACAAACGGCCAACAGCCATATCACCCTTCAGCCTGAGACCGATTATTTTGAAGCTAAGCAGGGCTGAGCCTGGTCAGAGCCTGGATGGGAGACCACATGGGAAAGCTAGGTTGCTGTTGGAAGTGGTGTTTCTGAGGCCAGCAGGGGGCGCTCAACCTGTGGTCTGTGTGGGTCCTAATGCCCCAGTATAGTGAAGGAGACACTTCCTAGAAAGAGGAAATAGAAAGGGGAAAAAGGTAGGCAAACAGCCCCTCCTAGACTGTCCTTAAAGTAGGGTAGGGTAGAGTGAGGGTGCTTTCACATCTGTAGTTCGCTTCATTTGGTCCGCACCAAGGGTAATAAATGATACATTGTTGCATCTTCTGCCGTCTTTGGGTTGTTTTCACACCACACTGCTGGCTTTGGTCCGAACCAGTTGAAATGAACCAAAATGCAGTCATCTGACAAAATCCACATCTCTCATTGGCCAGATGTTGTTAAATATATTTCCTAAACTGCTTATTGATTGGTCAGAATTCACGTGCGGGAAAATGCCAATGAACTCCTGCGAGTAAACAAAACCGGCAGACACAAAATGTCGCTTTTTAAGCCTGGTTTATACTTCTGCGTCAGGTGACCGGCGTAACCCACGGCGCAGGCAACGCGTGTGGCTGTGCATTTATACTTCAGCGCGCTGTCTCTGTCGGTCTGCATTAACACTTCCGAATCGCTAGTTGGCAGTGAGGTGTAAATGTTCCTCTGTGTCGAGTTTCTTCGCTGCTTTATTGCTTTTCCTGAACACTTCCGGGATGTACAAGTGGCTCAATCTCGCTCATTTTGAGGCAGGAACCGGCGGACGTGCAACAACTTTAACTATGAGGTAAACACAAAACAAAACTTTCCATCCGGAGCTCCTTCACGGGACTCCACACTTGTAAACAATCGCTCGCGCCATTCGCGCGGCTCTCGGTCCCGCCCAGACTCGTCAGCGCTACCAAGCAGAGCTTACGATACGCGTCGTTGCGACGTGTAGTTACATTTTTTGAGAGGTGCACGTCAGTGACGGCGACGGCCACGGCAAAGGGCTAGGCGTTTGACGCAAAAGTATAAATCAGCCTTTACTCGGAAGCGACGACTGCTCTGACTGATTGTATGCCTGCTTTAGACAAACTATACATTTCGAGAATGAAGCGCGGCTGGAAAACAGAGTTTTAATGCATCGCACGAAACTTCAGCAGGAGGCATGAATTACTTTAGCTAAACTGCGACATGGTCATCTTGCGGAAATATTACCAATGATCCATCAGGTAATGTTTTCCCCTCTCTCTCTCTCTCTGTTGGTAAAGCGCTGTCAACAAATATTTTACTCCATATCCCATAATGCACAGCGCATCGGCCTACAGCAGCTGAATTAGTCCAAAAGGCGCAGAACTTTTTGCGGTCGGACCTGTTTTAGTACGGATAATATTCTCACCGCAAACGAACCGCTCCAGGGTTCGTTTATTGCTGCATTCTCACCTGCCCAAACGAACCGCACCAAAAGGGAAAACGAACTCTAGTGCGATTCAATCGAACTAAATAAGGCAGGTGTGAAAGCACCCTGAGATCAGGGTAAAAAACCCAAGCACATAAGCATAGACACAACATGCAACAGGGGAACAGGGAATGCGGATATAGTCCGATGTAGGGAACAGTCATCTGGTCCTGCAGCTAGAAAGTGCTAGTCGCAGACTCACCTACCCACACTGGCGGTGATAAGCATGTGAAGGCATACTTAATTACAACTTAGTGCATTTATTATTCACGTCTTTCTGATTGTGGGCTCTGTGATCTTTCAAAATCCTTATTGTCTTCTGTTTTATCCTCCAGGTCAGCGGAAGTACAGTTATGGATAACGAAACGAATATGGACCTTGAATACTCTGATGATTATGCAGAGCCTTGTCCTCTGATGTGGTATCGCGACCATGAAGTGACCGTCCAGACCTACGTCTACTCCCTGATATGTGCGCTGGGCCTGGTGGGCAACGTTCTGGTGCTCCTGACCTACGCCTTCTACAAGAAAGCCAAATCCATGACTGATGTCTACCTGGTGAACGTGGCGCTGGCGGACCTGCTGTTCGTGGTGGCCCTCCCCTTGATCATCCACAACGAGCGCTCCCGCTGGAGCATGGGCACGTGGGCCTGTAAGCTGCTGCGCGGAGCTTATAGTATGAATGTGTACACTAGCACGCTCCTGCTAGCCTGCATAAGCGGAGACAGATACATCGCTATTGTACAGGCTCGACGCTCCCTCCGGACGCGCTCCCAGGCGAAGGCCTACAGCCGGATCATCTGCTTGGCGATTTGGTTTCTGGCGTTCGTCTTATCTCTGCCGACGGTAATCTACCACCAGGAGAAGAATCAAGAATGCATCACCATCTTCAGTGAGATGGAAACCGCACGGCTGGTGAAGATCCTGATTCCCAGCATGCAGATGGTGTTTGGGTTTCTGGTGCCGCTGATGGTGATGGTTTTCTGCTACTCATGGACCATGGTGACTCTTCTTAAGGCGCAGAACTTTCAGAAGCACAAGGCGGTGCGTGTTGTCCTGGCTGTGTTTTTCGTGTTTGTGCTTTGCCACCTGCCGTATAACGTAGCATTGCTGGTTTACACCAGTAAACTGTTTGTGGAGAGGAGTTGCGGGGAGGAGCAGGTCACGCTTATGACGCTTTCGGTTAGCCGGACCGCAGCGTATCTGCACTGCTGCCTCAATCCCATCCTCTACGCCTTCATCGGGGTCAAATTCAGAAGCCACTTCTGCCAGATCCTGCGGGATCTGCGGTGCCTCGGGAAGAGGTACATCTACTCAGGACGCTCCTCACAGCAGACGTCGGATTTGTACGTGTCAGCCACTAAAACGGTTGCCGAACAAAACGGCATCAACGACAACCCGTCGTCGTTTACATTGTGATGTGACAACACTGGATGTCGTTCAATGATAATTGCGCACGTTTTTCGCATTTATGCGCACAGACTTATGAAATCTTTCGATGTAATTTTGTAAATGCGAACAGCTTAACCTTGTTCGCAATCTCATTTGTCTGTTAGGGAATTTGGAGTCTTTAAAAGCGTGATAGTGGCTCAGTGGCTAGCATGATTGCCTCACAGCAAGAAGGTCGCTGGTTCGAGTTGCAGTTGGACCATTTCTGTGGGGAGTTTGCATGTTCTCTCCTGTGTTCTTGTGCATTTCTTTCAGGTTACTTGGGGTTCCCCCACAGTCCAAAGACACTTTCTCCTTAGGCTGATTTATACTTCTGCGTCAAGCGCACATGCATGCTTCCGCGCGGCCTATGCGTTGATGTTGCCATGACCCTCGCCATGACGCGCACCTCTCAAAAAATTTAACTACACATTGCAATGACGCGTAGCGCAAGCTCTGTGATTGGTCAGCTGTGATTGGATTGTTTGCAAGAGTGAAGTCCCGTGAAGGAGCTTTGGATATAAAGTTTTGCTTTGTGTTTACCTCATGGTTAAAGTTGTCGCACGTCCGCCGGTTCCTGCCTCAAAATGAGCGAGTTTGAGCCACTTGTACATTTAGGAAGCGCTCAGAAAAAACAAAACACCTGCAAAGAAACTTGACACAGAGGAGCATTAACACCTACTGCCAATTAGTATTTCGGAGGTGTTATTGCAGAGCAACAGAAACAGCAGCAGAAGTATGAATGCACATACATGCGTTGCACTATTGCAACTTTCTACTAGCCGGGCTTCCAGCTAACTCTATCAAACCTCTTCAGCTGCTCCAGAACGCAGCAGCACGAGTGGTCTTTAATGAAGCTAAAAGAGCACATGTCACTCCGCTGCTCATCCGTTTGCACTGGCTGCCAGTTGCTGCTCGCATCAAATTCAAAGCTCTGATGTTTGCTTACAAAGCGACTTCTGGCTTTGCTCCTTCTTATCTGCTCTCACTTCTGCAGATGTATGTGTCCTCCAGAAACTTGCGTTCTGTGAATGAACGTCGCCTCGTGGTTCATCCCAAAGAGGGAAGAAATCACTTTCCCGAACTCTCGCGCTCAATCTGCCCAGTTGGTGGAATGAACTCCCTAACTGCATCAGAACGGCAGAGTCACTCGCTGTCTTCAAGAAACCACTAAAAACTCAAGCGTCTGCTAAATGACTAAATGTAAATGCATGCTCTGTGGGTCACGCCAATCACTTGACGCAGAAGTATAAACCAGGCTTTACAGCACACAACAAAATGTCTTCAAGCAGAACCAAGTGTGCCGTGTCTCTACAAGGTGATGGATCAGATCCGGTGATTGTTGTTTAGACCTCGACTTATATATTTATGTATATTTGGACCTCTAATGATACTGACTCAGATTGCAATGTGTTTTTTTTCATTCAGCCTGTAAATAACATCTAATTAAATGTAGAGTTCTTTATACGGGGCTCATAAGGTGTACGTCAGGGATGTCAAACTCAATTCCTAAAGGGCTTGCACAGTTTAGTTCTAACCCTGCTCCAACACACTTACCTGTAGGTTTTAAACAAGCCTGAAGGACTCAATTAGTTTGATCAGGTGTGTTTAATCAGGGTTGGAACTAAACTGTGCAGAGCTGCGGCCCTTTAGGAATTGAGTTTGACACCCCTGGTGTACGTGATTATTGCGTATGTGTGGTTCAAGTTGTATTTTTTTGTTTATTTACAATAAATTTTTGTACTAAAGTATTTGATGTACTATGATTTATTTGTGAGAACATCTACATGCATGTTTAGTTAATTAGACCGGCAATTGGAGGATGGTTCCTTTTTTTATTCTTGAAAATGGTGCCAACTGGGCGGCACAGTGGTTTGCACTGTCGCCTCACAGCAAGAAGGCCGCTGGTTCGAGCCTCGGCTAGGTCAGTTGGCATTTCTGTGTGGAGTCTGCATGTTCTGCCCGTGTTGGCATGGGTTTCCTCTGGGCTTTTCACCCACAAGTCCAAACACATGTGTTATAGGGGAATTGATTAACTAAATTGACTATAGTGTATGAGTGTGTGTGTGTGTGTGTGTGTGTGTGTGTGTGTGTGTGAGAATGAGTGTGTATGGGTGTTTCCCAGTACTGAGTTGCAGCTGAAAGGGCATCCACTGCGTAAAACAGGGGTGACCAATCCCGGTCCAGGAAGGCCGGTGTCCCTGCAGGGTTTAGCTCCAACTTGCCTCAAGACACCTGCCTGGATGTTTCAAGTATAGTAAGACCTTGATTAGCTTGTTCAGGTGTGTTTGATCAGGGTTGGAGCTAAAATCTGTAGGACACCGGACCTCCAGGAACAAGTTTGGTGACTACTAGCGTAAAACATATGCTGGAATAGTTGGTGGTTCATTCCACTGTGGTGATCAAGCCAAAGGAAAATTTACGATTGAAAATGGTGCCAAATATTGTTGGTGACACTACAAATAAGGATGAATTAAACATGAACACACAATGAGCAGTCCAATTGCTGCAGGATTTGTGAAGTAGGCCTGAAGACTGAGACACACCTAGCTGATGTCAATGAACTTGTGGTGATGAAATCAACTACACTGACTGTGTCTGTCTCGACTGTGTCTGTCCTGTCTGTCAGATGAAGAAGAGCCAGAGTCAGACCCTACTGAAAAAAAACTGCTTAAACCAGCCTAGGCTGGTTGGCTGGTTTTAGAGGGGTTTTGGCCATTTGTAGGCTGGTTTCCAGCCATTTACAGCCTGGTTTTAGCTGGTCAGGCTGGGAGATGACCAGCTAAGACCAGCTTGTTTCAACTCATTTATTCAAATAAGTAGTTGAAACAATCAGCGAGTGTCATATTTTGAGTGTGTAGAAGAGCCCTGACACACTTCTCCTTCCTCTGATCTCAGAGTAAACAGGTCAGAGTGCAAGATTAGCAGAAATCAAAGACTATAAGGAGTACAAAAGCAACATTGCAATTCTGAAAGCAGGAAACATGAGCGGAGGAAAACCCTGAGTTCGTCATCCTTTCATCAGGTTCATCTATTTAAATGACGCTGGCTTTACTTCCTCGTGCAGGACTTGTAAACAACACAGAGTTTGCATGCACATACATTCAGAGCACAGACAGATAAATTCCCCAAATTTACATTACAAATTTACCAACCGCTTTACCAGCAGTGAACATCACGCTCCATATTTATAATAAAGTATCCAAGAAACTAGGATGAGATACTTCGAATAAAAGTTGTAAGTTTCAAAACATTATTGCAATTAAATTTAGATTACTTAAATTATACGTCATTTAATACTTGATTAAATACTACTTAAAACACCAGTGAGTCTCAGTGACTAGAAATTAAACTCTTTTAGTTATTTAAATGTAAGTGAAAGGTGCTTTTAACTTTATTAAAAACAAAAAAACATAATGTTGGCGTTTGTTTCTTACTTAATTTTTTAAATATGCTATTGACAAATGCAATTTATTAAGATGAAATATTAAGTTATGGAAAATGTAGTTACAACAAATAATTACAATAACATTGATTATATAAATATAATAGTAATAGTAATAATAATAATAATAATAATAATAATAATAATAATAATAATAATAATGATAATAATAATAATAATTAAAATTATAATGATAATAATAATAATAATAATAGTAAAAGTAATAATAATAATAGTTATAATAATAATAATAATAGTAATAATAATAATAATGATAATAATAATAATAATAATAATAGCAATAATAATAATAATAGTAATAATAATAATAATAATAATAAAATAGTAATAATAATAATAGTAATAATAATAGTAATAATAATAATAATAATAATAATAATAATAATAATAATAATAATAATAGTAAAAGTAAAAATAATAATAATAGTAATAATAATAATAATAAGATTAATAATAATAGTAATAGTAATAATAATAATAGTAAAAGTAAAAATAATAATAATAGTAATAATAATAATAATAAGACTAATAATAATAGTAATAGTAACAACAATAATAATAGTTAAAGTAAAAAAAATAATAGTAATAATAATATTATTAATAATAGTAGTAGTAGTAATAATAATAATAATAATAATAATAATAATAATAATAATAATAATAATAACAATCATAATAATAGTAATAACAATAATAATAATTAGTAATATTAATAATAATAGTAATGATAATAATAATAATAATAGTAAAAGTAAAAAAATAATAATATTAATAATAATAGTAATAATAGTAATAATAATAATGATAATAATAATAATAATAATAATAATAATAATAATAATAATAATAATAATAATAATAATAATAATAATAATAATTATAATAATAATAATATTAATGAAAATAATAATACACTGTAAAAAGTGATTAACATTTAATTGATTAATTTGTTTGGAAACAACAACAACAACAACAATAATAATAAAAATGATAATAATAATAATAATAATAATAATAATAATAATAATAATAATAATAATAATAAAATAATAATAATAATAATATAACACTAATAATAATAATAATAAAAAAAAAATAATAATAATAATAATAAAAATGATAATAATAATAATAATAATATTTAACAATATTAAAAATAAAATTGTCTTGTCACAGAATGGGCACCTAGCAATGAATGGCAAATTCTCAAAATTAAATCATTTCATTTATTTGACCATCAAGAATAAATAAATCCAACACAACGCTTACAATCATATACCTTAATGATGGTCCTTCTACAATATGCTCAATGTCTTACACACAACTTGATTTTTCTCTTTAAATCCACCTCCATCATTTGTCCCATAGGAAGTGAGTGGAGATACTAAAATGAATACACTCAAACAAAAAACAAACAAACAAAAAAAAAAAAACAGGTTGCCTTAAATGTTTAAGCTGAATAAAATTAACCCTTTGACTCCATTAAACTTATGTAATGTTAAACTGACTTATGACAGCTTGCATACTTAAAATTACGTTAGAACATGATTAACTTATTTTAATAAGCTACAATGACCTAAAAACATTTGCTGACAGTACTAATTGATCTTATAATTTTTTACAGTGTAAATATTATAAAAAAAAATTAACACAAAGCAAATAAAATATGCACCTTAATAAAGATCTGAACCTGTACAACAAGCTCAATATATCCGCACACGTATAAACGCCATTGAAAACGATTGCCATTTCAATTTTATTGATATTTATAAGCTTCATTTGTTGACTATTTTTTTTTATTCAGACAAAGAAATAGAAAAGTAGACACATGTTCATAATAATAAAACAGTTTCAGTCTGCTCTATAAGTAACACTTCACAATAAAGTTTCATAAGTTTCTTGTGTTTAACATATTTACTATCATGAACTAATAATGAACAATACCTGTACAGCATTTATTAATCATAATTTAATGCAAAATTGTCCTTGTTAACAGTAGTTAATGCACTAACTAACAATAAACGACTTCATTTTCATTAAATAACATAAATAAATACTGTAATAACTGTATTGTTTACCACATTAGAGACTAAATGTGACCTTTCTTTGCGTACAGCAGTGAAATGTACAGATGAATTATGATATTTCTATGTATGTTGAGCTGCGATGTTCTGGTTGTGATTCAGCTCATGCTCTGAGTAAAGCATTACCTTGCGCTTGTGATACATGGAGCTGAAATGAAAGATATAATCGGTGATGAAGGATGGCAGAGCAGGGCACAGGTGGAAGAATAACAGGTCGGTCCAGGAGACCAGCAGGTACCGGTGTCTGGGTTTTCCCGCGGTGAGAGCGTGCAGCATGGCGTTTATTACCATGCTGCAATCCTTAAAGCCTGAATTACACATGGAGTAAAAATACTCACACGCTTCCTCTATGTATTTCTGGTTGAACGTTTGTTTACGCACGTCATCAAATTCAGCCCATATGTCTTTGGGGGTTTTCTTGTGCAGAATGTTTGTGGCCGCTCCGAAGTTGCCAGGTTGGATGATGCTGACCTGTGAAATCAAATGAAGTAAAATATCACATGACAAATTTAAAAAGAAATTACATATTATTAAAAACTTAAATAAATAAAATAAAAATAAACTGAAATTTACATTAAATTAACAAATGAAATAAAAAAATTGAATGAAATAAAAATTGAAAATTACATTAAAATTCTAAATAAAAATCAAATAAAATGTACAGTAAATTAAAATGTAAAACAATTAAATAAAAATAGTTAATTAAATAAAAAACAAACATTTATAATAAAAAAGAGAAAACCCTTACAGAAATATTACATATCATCTAAATACATTGTGTATTTTCTTTATTAATTTATTATTTATAATTATTTATTTAATTATTTATTATTATTACAATTTTTTCATTGAATAAATCATTTATTTTATTTATTTAATTTTTATTTACTTTTTTTACATTAAACAAACTTTTTTCCTGTGTTTGCATTTATCCATGATCTATTCTTTTTATTTATGCATATATGTATGTATAAATAAAATGTTTAATCATTGTTTAAAAAAGGTCATTTGACATTATCAATACATGTATTATTTATACGTACTGTATTAATTATTATTTATTTTACTTTTAAACGTATTTTTTTATTTCGATTTATTCAGTTTGTATATTTAGTAATATTATTGGACAATATGCAGATGTTTGTATGACTTATTTACAGTAGTTTGTAAAGAAATAAGTTCATTATTTTATTAGATGTATTATATGATACAGTGGTTCTCAAACTTTTTTCATCAAGTACCACCTCAGAAAAAAAATAGTCTCTCCAAGTACCACCAAAATGAGCAGTACTGAAATACAGTAGCGTAGTAGGCCCAGTAAAGCAGCTACAACTCTGCACAGTTAAAAAAACGTGGCAGATTACCTCAGAAATATAGGCTATATGTCATATTATATACATCATTTTTAATAAATTTTTAAATATGCAGCACGTACATGACATGTTTAATTCCTCCGTGTACCACTAGAAGGAAGCCTGCGTACCACTAGTGGTACACGTACCACAGTTTGAGAACCACTGATATGATAGACGTCCTTCATTTACCAAATAAGTGGATCTAATAGTATTTCATTTAGAAACCCTAAATATAATGTGCAAAAGTTATTGTTTTTTTATTTCACAGGGTATGTTTTTAGTTACTATACTCTCAAAATAATTCTGCATAAAGATGTATGCTAATTCAGTCTGGCCTTAGATATGAGTGCTTGTTATACCTGATTTAAGTTAGATTTTGTAATAATCATGAATAAAACGATAACAGAAAACAAAACACTGCTTCCTGAAGTCAGTCAGCTTTAAAGTGAGTAAGTGATTGGCTCTCACCTGAACTCCAAAACCAGCCATCTCTATTCTCAAGCAATCCGCAAAAGCTTCCAGTCCCCGTTTGGAAACGCTGTAGGCTCCCATGTTCAGACAGTTGAAGAAAGCAAAGATACTGGACACATACAACATACGACCTGAGAATAAATCATGAAATTAAGGGAAATCAGTCATCCACAAATACAAACCTCTCAGAAATTAAGCTTAAAAGCTCAGTATCATTTCAAAAGTTGGTTATGTGCATTGTTTAATAGTGAATATTAGTATTTCAACTAAAGTGTGCTCAATAATACATAGTAATTGCTAGTACCTAACTAGTAAATACAAGTAGTCAACGATATAGTGCAAAAATCTAAATATTATTCAAAATTATACATATTTTTATTCATAATTTCGATAAGGAGGTTAGTTTAATCTTCAAAATCATGTTTCCGACAACACTGCACTCTAAAAATGCTGGGTTGTCGTAACCCAAAGTTGGGTCAAGCAGAAACAAAATAAATCATTACAAGTGTCATTGAAATTTAATTGAAACAACTAACGAACCCCTTCATGAGGATGCATGTCTAATTTTTTAAAGGTACAGTATGTAATTTTATCCACTAGAGGGCGCATATTCACAATATGACCGGAATATTATGAAGCTACAATAATACTTTTGTGTCTACAGAAAACAAAAATATTTAACATTATTTAATTAACATTATTAACTTTATTATTTTCGTACATTTCAGATGTCAAATCCATTAGAGGGCGCTGTCTACATTTGTGTGAAACTGAAATACGTTACTGAGGATGCATTTTGTTGTACGTTTTAGATGACTTATCCACTAGAGGGCGCTGTCTACATTTGTGCGAATCTGAAATACGTTACTTAGGGGACGTTTTGTTGTAGGTTTGAGACAATAAATCCACTAGAGGTCGCTGTCTACGATTAAATACGTTATTTATGGTACATTTTTTTGTACATTTCAGATGACAAATCTACTAGAGGGCGCTGTCTACTTTTGTGTGAATCTGAAATACGTTACTTAGGGTACGTTTTGTTGTACGTTTCAGACGATAAATCCACTAGAGGGCGCTGGCTACATAAAAAATATGTTACTTAGGGGACATTTTGTTGTATGTTTCAGATGACAAATCCACAAGAGGGAGCTGTCTGCATTTGTGTGAATCTGAAATTCGTTACTTAGGGTGCGTTTTTTTTACGTTTTAGGGGCGCCCACTAGAGGGCGCTGTCTGCATTTGTGCGAATCTGAAATAAAGCTACTCAGGGTACGTTTTGTTGTACGTTTCAGATGCCAAATCCACTAGAGGGTGCTGTCTACATTTGTGCAATTCTGAAATAGCTAGCAAACCACTGAGCTAAACCAGATGTAAGAGAAGCAGATGCAGGAGAAATGAGCTCTACGACCATGTAGTTTTACCTTGATTTTACATTGATTTTATCTCTGAACTCGAACAGCACAAGCACAATAGCATACAAACTGACCACACCAGAAAAGTGTCCATATGGAAATAGATAAGCGATGCAAACCTGTTCATTGCAAATCATAGACAGCGTTAAGTTATTTTCTGATATTTATTTGGTGTTACGCAAAGAACTTCACGTAAATAATCTTTTATATATTGATAATAACCAAAGATGTTGTCATACTGCCCCCTAGTGTTCATTTTTCCAACAAACTGCAGTCAAACGTCTGTTTGATATCGTTTTTACAGTTTCACAAAAATGCAGATTAAAGCCAGAGATGGACTTTGTGCATGTTGGGGTTAATCTGACAGGACTTTTATTTTGAAACGGCAAAGAATAAGGATTAAAGGAGTCAGAATAGAGGCAATCAGTGACCTTTAGAAGCTCTAACAAGAGGCAGGAATGGGATGGTGACTCTGATGGCGCCGAACAGGTTCACATCGGCCATCTTCTGGAAGTCCTCAGCCGTACTCCACTCCGTCTCGCCCCAGTCACTGACGCCAGCATTGTTCACAACGGCATACAGACCTGAAAATGGATTCAAATTTGGTGACGCGGGACCACAAAACCAGCCCTATGGGTCAGTTTTTGGATATTGCTATTTATACATCACCGGAATAAATAGGTACAGAACAAACACACAATAATGCCACATGGCCCAGCCGGAATTCAAACCGGTGACCTTCGTTTTTGTGAGACAACAGTGCTAACCAGTGAGTACAAATCAAGTTCTTAGCAATGCATTGAACATATTATAACTACTTTGTAACTATTTAAACTAAGCACTGGTTAAAGTCCTCCAATAACAAAATCTAAAGGACGAAAGACTTTTGTTGCTGCATTTTCCTGTATTTGGTTCTTTCAGCGTTGAGTTACCTTTCACTGGCAAGTTTGCTTCTACAAAATCCTTGGCTGAGCTGATATGTTCCTCATTGGTCACGTCCAGCTGAAGGATCTTCACTCGCTTTGAGCTTTCCTCCACAAGACTTCGAGCTCCAGGACCTTCAGGACACAAACATCCAGCAAACACGGTGAAGCCCATGAGGTCCAGTTTTTTTGCAAGGTGATAGCCAAATCCACTGTCACAGCCTGTTATCAGCACTGCCCGGCCAAAACCATCCCACAGGCCTTCTTCAGTCTGGCGCAAGGTGTTCGCCAAGACCACCAAGCAGACCACGAGAGCGCAGTACGTACAAATGTGATCACTCAAGCAGATGTAGGAGAGGAGCAGGACGGAAACGCTGAGAAGTTCTGCCTTCATCTTGACTCGTCTCGCAACCTTTAATTGACCAAAAAAAAAAAAAAAGGAAAATAGTTTCAAACAAAGCCAAGGTGGATTGAGGGATCTTCATCATCAGCTTTTCCCCTTCAACAATAGCTCTATGCCTTCAATTAGCAGCCCTTCCAATTCATCAACAGCTCCTTCCCATCATGATCAGCCCCTCCCTTTCATAATAAGCTCCTCCCCTTCATCATAAGTCCCTCCCCTAAAATCAGTAGCCCCTCCCCCTTTATCATCAGCTATTCCTCTTCAACAGCAGCTCCTCCACTTCAATTAGTAGCCCCTCCCCTTCATCAACAGCTCCTCCCCTCCAACAACAGCTCCTTCCCCTTCCCCATCATCAGCCCCTCCCTTTTATAATCATCTCTTCCCCTTCAACAACAGCTCTATCCCTTAGATCAGTAGACCATACCCATCATCAACATCCCCTCCCCATCATCTTCAGCTCCTCCCCTACATCAACAGCCCCTCCCTATCATCATCAGCTCCTCCCCTACATCAACATCTCCTCCCCCTTATCATCATTAGCCCCCCCCTACAACAACAGCTCCTTCCCTTCAATGAGAAGCCCCTCCCCTACATCAACATCTCCTCCCCATCATCATCAGCCCCCCTTCATTAACAGCACCTCCTCTTCAATCAGTAGCCCCTCCCCTTCATTAACAGCTCCCCCTCTTCAATTAGTAGCCACTCCCCTTCATCATCAGCTCCTCCCCTTCATCAACAGCTCCTGTAATTGATTAGTAGCTTATGCCCCTCATAATCAGCTCTTCCCCTTAATTAACAGCTCCTCCTCTTTAATCAGTAGCCCCTCCCCTTCATCAACAGCTTCACCCCTTCATCAACAGGTCCTCCTCTTCAATTAGTAGCCCATCCCCTTCATCAACAGCTCCTCCTCTTAAATCAGTAGCCCCTCCCCTTCATAAACAGCTTCACCCCTTCATCAACAGCTCCTCCTCGTCATAATCAGCTCCTTCCCTTCATCAACAGCTTCTTCCCTTCAATCAATAGCTCCTCCCCATCATCATCAGCCCCATCCCTTTCATAATCAGCTCCTCCCCTTCAACAACAGCTCCTTCCCTTTAATCAGTAGCCCCTCCTCTTCATCAACAGCTCCTCTAATTGATTAGTAGCTTATCCCTTTCGTAATCAGCTCCTTTCCTTCAATAACAGCTTTTCCCCACCAACAGCTCCTCCTCCTTAATCAGTAGCCCCTCCCCTTCACCAACAGCTCCTCCCTTTCATCAACAGCTCCTCCTCTTCAATCAGTAGCCCCTCCCTTTCACCAACAGCTCCTCCCTTTCATCAACAGCTCCTCCCCTTCAATCAGTAGCTCCACCTCATCATCAACAGCTCCTCCCTTTCATCAACAGCTCCTCCCTTCATCAACAGCTCCTCCTCTTCAATCAGTAGCCCCTCCCCTTCACCAACAGCTCCTCCCTTTCATCAACAGCTCCTCCCCTTCAATCAGTAGCTCCACCTCATCATCAACAGCTTCTCCCCTTCATGAACAGCTCCTTCTCTCCAATCAGTAGCCCCTCCTCTTCACCTTCAGCTCCTCCCTATCATCATCAGCCCCTCCCCTTAATATTCAGCCCCTCCCCTTCAACAACAGCTCCTTTCCTTCAATCAGTAGCCCCTCCCTTCACCAACAGCTCCTCCCCATCATCATCAGCCCCTCCCCTTCATATTCAGCCCCTCCCCTTCAACAACAGCTCCTTTACTTCAGTCAGTAGCCCCTCCCTTTACCAACAGCTCCTCCCCATCATCATCAGCCCCTCCCCTTCATATTCAGCTCCTCCCCTTCAACAACAGCTCCTTTCCTTCAATCAGTAGCCCCTCCCCAACATCCTCAGTAGCCCTTCGCCTTCATAATCCGCTCCTCCCCTTCAACAACAGCTTAATCAACAACTCCTCCCCTTCATCATAAGCTCTTCCCAAACTTAATGACCAGTTCCTCCCCTTCATCATCAGCCCCTTCCCTTTTATCAGTAGCCCCTCCCCTTCTGCTATGTAGCAAAGCTCTACCGCTTCATACATCATACAGTTAGATTATAAGCCCGCCCTGTTTATATGAAGAAATATACTTTAGTGGTGGTATAATTTTGAATTTGTTTATTATTACCTTAACTCAGTTTGATATTGTTATATTTCAATTGTTAACTTTTTAATTATAAATTTAATTATAAATGTTAATTATAAATCAAAATATTAAACCGAATTGTAAATTCAGAGAATCCTAACACCCCTATTAGATAAGCAGAAATGTCACTGCTGTTATCTTTACCTGTCCTTATCCTCTTGGTGCCTGCTGACATGCAAAAGCAGATGGAAGACAGATAAGTAGGGTCACATTTTGCTGTAACCAGGTCACGGTGCAAGATTGATCCATTGATTAAAAGCTGCAATCGGCTCATTTACTGTAATTTGGAGATCATCAGATAGACACACATACAAATGCTCCAGTTTGAGGTTTAATGACAAACACGTTCCATGGTTCATGCACAAATATCATTATTTTCTTCAGATTTTTCTTAATTTTTTTCATAAATGTGGAATGATAAAAAAATATTAGTTCAGTTAACTACTAACTGTTAGTTAACAGTTAACCCTTATGTGCTGTTGGGGATGTTTTCATCCACTCTGGGATGATTTTGAGTTTTCATTTGGCCACAACTTTGTGTTTCAGCTAGTGGATTGATTTATGTTGGCAAATTTTATTTTAATGCATGTTTTGAGAAAATGCTTTGACAAGTCATTTGAATCAGTGAGTTGTTTACTGAAGACTCACTCTGAAATGATCATTTAAACAAATGAGTTTTTTACAGAAGATTCACTCTAAAATGATCATTTGAATCATTGAGTTGTTTACTGAAGACTCGCTCTGAACAGATCATTTGAATCAGTGGGTTGTTTACTGAAGACTCACTCTGAACAGATCATTTGAATCAACAAGTTGTTTACTAAAGACTCACTCTAAACAGATCCTTTGAATCAGTGAGTTGTTTACTGTAGCCTCACTCTGAAAAGATCTTTTGAATCAGGGAGTTGTTTACCCAAGACTCACTCTGATACGATCATTTGAATCAGTGAGTTGTTTCCCGAACACTCAATCTGAAATAATCATTTGTATCAGTGAGTTGTTGACTGAAGACTAACTCTGAAATGATCCTTTGAATCAGTGAGTTGTTTACTGAAGACTCGCTCTGAATTGATCAGTTGAAATCAGTGAGTTGTTTACTGAAGACTCACTCTGAACAGATCATTTGAATCAGTGAGTTGTTTACTGAAGACTCGCTCTGAATTGATCAGTTGAAATCAGTGAGTTGTTTACTGAAGACTCACTCTGAACAGATCATTTGAATCAGTGAGTTGTTTACCGAAGACTCACTCTGAACAGATCATTTGAATCAACAAGTTGTTTACTAAAGACTCACTCTAAACAGATCCTTTGAATCAGTGAGTTGTTTACTGAAGCCTCACTCTGAAAAGATATTTTGAATCAGGGAGTTGTTTACCCAAGACTCACTCTGATACGATCATTTGAATCAGTGAGTTGTTTCCCGAACACTCAATCTGAAATAATCATTTGTATCAGTGAGTTGTTGACTGAAGACTAACTCTGAAATGATCCTTTAAATCAGTGAGTTGTTTACTGAAGACTCACTCTGAACAGATCATTTGAATCAGTGAGTTGTTTACTGAAGACTCGCTCTGAATTGATCAGTTGAAATCAGTGAGTTGTTTACTGAAGACTCGCTCTGAATTGATCAGTTGAATCAGTGAGTTGTTGACTGAAGACTCACTCTGAACAGATCATTTGAATCAGTGAGTTGTTCATTGGAGAGTCAAATGATACAGTAGCAAAGTCAAAATTCATAGTCAATGTCTGCCACCAATGTTTTTAACAGCATAATTTGAAGAGAATTAATGTTTAATCTCATGATTACAAGCTCTTATAATGATGACAGGCGGATTTGTTTGCCATATTTCAAATCATTTAAACTATGAAACCCCCGTGATCCATCTGCAAAAGTAAACTGAATGTTTGTTTATGAATTAAATATGCCTATTCTGACACACAAAGAGGACGTTTTGATGAAAATGAAGAATTTGGCTGTTATGTAGGAAGTAAATTGCGATTGGTCAGGGTTGCGAACTGTCAGGCGTTTGACAGGAGGCACAGTCGGAGGCTCTGTTTTAGGCTGAACCAAGAAATATCACGCCATGTTATTGAAAACACCATCAAAGAGGAGCTTTCAGACTTTTTCTCCATCACGGGCCTGTGTTTTCAGAAGTTGTCGCACTTTTCCGCGAACTAAAACTTCTCAGAAGAAAAACAAACGTAATAACTTAGTCTGTTTCTAGAAGTAAAGCTCAAATATGAGGCAGTTTACAAGAATTATTTAGATCATTTATTAAATTATGCAATAATTGTATTTAATTAGTATCTACTCATAAACCCAACCCTCATTGTAATGTAAAACAGATATTATATTGAGTATTATTCATATTATTTAATAAATTAACCATTAATTGTATTTTATTAATGTCTACCCTTATCTCAACCTTAAACATTGCAAAGTAATGTAAATACAGATAATGTACATTATATTTTTGTAATATTTATTAAATTACCTATTAATTGTTTTTTATTAATGTCCACCCCATAACAACCCTCACAGTAATGTAAAAATATGAGTTATTATTGTTGTAGAGTGTCACTTTTTTTTTACTATTTCTTCACAAAATTATGTCTAAATTCTGTGTGTTTTATGTGTTGATTTTGTTAAGAGTATTAGAGCCGAATCATAAACAAAAAATAACAATAATAAAACAATAATATGTTTCAATGGAGAGAGATTTCTGATCATCATTAAATCATCCACGTGTTTGGTCAATGCAGGCACAATAATTTTATTCCTAAAAAACAATCAAACAGTGAGATGATCATTGAGCTTGCATATGTGTGTAGAAATATATAGAGTTGAAGTCAAAATGATTCTCTCTCTTGTGAAAGGTTTATTCATTCATATTTTTCTTATAATATAAATTAAAAAGTAAAAACTCCTAAGGTTTAATATTATTATTATATTGTAATTATTTCTAATGTAATATATATATATATATATATATATATATATATATATATATATATATATATACACACACACACACACACACACACGCACACGTACATACATACACACACATGTATATGTATGTATATATACAGTATATATACAGTGTATATAGTGTATATATATATATATATATATATATATATATATATATATATATATATATATATATATATGTGTGTGTGTGTGTGTGTGTGTGTGTTTGTGTGTTATCAACTTGCATATATACACTTTCCCTATAGATTTTAGCTTTTAAATGTTAATTAGTTCTGTCCATAAAGCAGTGGGACCTTCCCCAACTTACCTTTAAATATTGTGATGAATTCTCAGCAGCAGTGAGTTCAGAATCAGCGAGGCTTGTGTTCTCCGGCTGGGGAGCTGAAGGTTGTCTCACTGTGGGTTTCTTCACATATATGTCGAAAATCCTTCATTTATTAACCCGGACCCTACCTAATCAAACACAATGACATCATGACACTCGTGGTTTAAGCGGGAAATGCCAGTCTCAGAGCATGAATTCCCATGAAAAGAACAAAGGACTACTTTATTTGTGTCAACAAAACCTGATTTCACGTTTTTGTGAATCAATAATCTGGAACAGGAGCAGTGATGATGACGGCGGACACAAGCTCGCTCTGTGTTTGCTTCTGATCGGAAACATTCAATGGAGAAAAAAACCCAGGACATTCTGTGGTTTTCAACCATACTACAGTCAAGTGTAAATTAGGGTTAGTGTAGCATCTCCCAGATGATTCCGAGCCCGAGATGTTGATGCCACATCTGGACAATGTTAACATAGGGCTTCCTTTTGGCACAGTACAGTTTTCATAGACATTTGTGGATGTAACATATTGTGGTACTTGACAAATTGTGAGGTTTGCCGCAGTAGTCCTGAGCCCATGTGCTGATCTGGCTTGTAGATGAATGAGGATTCTTGATGCAGCGCCCCCTGAGGGATCGGAGTTCACTGTTCTTCAGCTTAGGTTTGCACCCTTGTCCTTTACACACTGAAACTCCTCCAGATTCCTTCAATCTTTTAATGATGTTCTGCACTGTTGAAGGTGAAATATCCACACGTCTTCCTCTCTTTCTCTAAGGAACATTGTTCTTAAACATTTCAATCATTTTCTCTTGTATCTGTTGGCAAACTGGTGATCCTCGACCCATCTTTGCTCCTAAAGGACTAGACTTTTCTTGGATGCTGCTTAATTACAATCACCTGTTGATCACCTGTTTCAAATCACATCAGTATTTCACCAGTTTACCTGATTACTGTACTGAACTGCTCCTATCCCAACCAGTGGCATTGCGAGGGTGGGGGCTTTGGGGGCTTAAGCCCCTCATGTACTGTCAAAAGCCCCTGATCTTTTGGAATAGGTTGCACTTAATTAAAAATAGGTTGCATAATCTAAGAACTTAAAATGAACACATCACGAGCATTCCACTTAGAGCAGCGTTTGTGTCGGAGTGTGGAGTGTTCTTTCTGGAGTGTGTTGCAGCTCTGAATGACAGAAAAGCAGATATATTTACAAATAAAATGAAGTTGACTAGACAAAACATCCAATAATTTGTGTTCACACTGTCTGCAATAAAACACAAGTCAAAGTCAGTTTAGAAACCTCTACTTTCATTCATTCATTCATTCTCTTGTCGGCTTAGTCCCTTTATTAATCCGGGGTCGCCACAGCGGAATGAACCGCCAACTTATCCAGCAAGTTTTACGCAGCGGATGCCCTTCCAGCCGCAACCCATCTCTGGGAAACATCCACACACACATTCACACACACTACGGACAATTTAGCCTACCCAATTCACCTGTACCGCATGTCTTTGGACTGTGGGGGAAACCGGAGCACCCGGAGGAAACCCACGTGAAGGCAGGGAGAACATGCAAACTCCACACAGAAACGCCAACTGAGCCGAGGTTCGAACCAGCGACCTTCTTGCTGTGAGGCGACAGCACTACCTACTGCGCCACTGCCTCGCCCAAACCTCTACTTTCTTTTGTTAATTTAAAATTTTCCCAATAGGGCATCACCACCGGGTGCTCCGGTTTCCCCCACAGTCCAAACACATGCACTATACAGTAGGTCAATTGAACAAGCTTAATTGCCTGTAGTGTATGAGTGTGTGTGGGTGTTTTCCAGTGTTGGGTTGCGGCCGGAAGGGCATCCGCTGCGTAAAACATATGCTGGATAAGTTGGCGGTTCATTCTGCTGTGATGACAGCTGATTAATAAAGGCACTAAGCCAAACAGAAAATGAATGAATGAGTTTTGAGTCGTGCATACGTTTGTCTTCAACCAAAATTACTTTCTCACTATTGACAATCATCTCCAATGAAAATAAATGTCTTATTTATAGTATCTGTAGAACGATTGATGTCAGCGACACTTTCTATCCAATGACCCGCCACATCTCTTGCTCCCGGAGAGAAATGGCATCAACATTTTATGCATGAAAAGTCCCTCATGATCATGTCTGATTGAGTTATTCGCAATATTTAGCATTTTCTTTTAAAAATAATAATCTGATGACAGGTTTTCCTGTTTGTCCGTTTAATGTGATTAAGTTTTTTTCTTGATGCCACAGAGAATCTCCGTCACACAGCAATGTTAAAGCATCTGACAATGATGTTCAGATAATATTGTGCACTTCTATCAGTATATTTATAGGCTGTGAATAGATTAATCACACTTTTTTTTTTTTACATAATATACTACTATATTTATTTTGTCTTAATATATAATATATATATATATATATATATATATATATATATATATATATATATATATATAATATATATATATATATATATAATATATATATATATATATATATATATATATATATATAATTTATATTATATTCATGTATAAAATATTTATATATAAATACATACAGGCAACGCAGTGGCACAGTAGATGCTGTCGTCTCACAGCAAGAAAGTCGCTGGTTCGAGCCTCGGCTGGGTCAGTTGGCGTTTCTGTGTGGAGTTTGCATGTTCTCCCTGCGTTTGAGTGGGCTTCCCCGGGTCCAAAGACATGCGGTACAGGTGAATTGGGCAGGCTAAATTGTCCGTAGTGTATGAATGTAAATGAGTGTGTATGGGTGTTTCCCAGAGATGGGTTGCAGCTGGAAGGGCATCCACTGTGTAAAGCTGGATAAGTTGGCGGTTCATTCCGCTGTGGCAACCGCAGATTAATAAAGGGACTAAGCCGAAACGAAAATGAATAGATACATACATGTATATATTTGAAAATAATCTGTTTATTTATATTTATAAGTGTAAGTAATAAGTGTTTATCAATATTTATAAATTCATTATTTTTATCTAATAGAAATGCTTTATAAATATAACTATAGGTATCTAAATATTGTGTATTTTATGTTTTATTTATACACAATGATTATCTATAGTTAAATTAATGTTTATTTAGGTCTCTATTCAACATTTATATCTAATAGAAATTATAAATCTAAATGTTTTATATTGTATTTGTTTAATTTATACACAATGTTTTTACAAAGCGAATACACACACATTGTGTAAATACAAATTTATTTTGGGTGCCATTATCATTTGACAGCACTATTATGAATGCAGTGCTGTCGCCTCACAGCAAGAAGGTCGCTGGTTTGAGCCTCGGCTGGGTCAGTTAGCGTTTCTGTGTGGAGTTTGCATGTTCTCCCTGTGTTCGCGTGGGTTTCCTCCGGGTGCTCCGGTTTCCCCCACAGTCCAATGTGGTACAGGTGAATTAGGTTGGCTAAATTGTCCGTAGTGAATGAGTGGATGTTTCCCAGAGATGGGTTGCAGCTAGAAGGGCATTCGCTGCGTAAAACAGATGCTGAATAGGTTGGTGGTTCATTCCGCTGTGGCGACCCTGGATTAATAAAGGGACTAAGCCAACTACAACATGAATGAATGATGAACTGTGTGTGTTTGTGTTTGCGTTTAGTTACATTATCTAAAAAGTGAGTAAAACCATTTTTAAGCAATAAAGTAATTTTATGTATGTGTGTGTGTGTGTGTGTGTTTATTAATTAGATTTATTACTTTACATCAGTCTGAAAATTGCACATGCTAACAATTAATGGATTGAGCAATAAATAAATGACAGTTAATGGCATGTATGAAATGGTGTCATTGAAACGTTTCGTGTTTTGATATTTTATAGTGACTGTGACTTTTTATAACCCCATTTCCTTCAGCATGAATGTGCTGTTCCCACGTTAGGCCACCAGACGGCACAAAAGTGCACTATTTTCACACTATTTACAAAATGGTTTCGCCTTTACTTAGGGGCAATCCCGCACTTCCGGAACACAAACAAATCTCCCGCCGCCCATGTTTCCTCGTTTATAAATAGACGTGCTTTTATAATTGATCCTATTCCTTTCCTTTTCCCTTTCCTGTTCAAATGATGAAGTTATTTACCTTCATTATCTTAAAGCAATTATGCTGACCTTTTTTTTTTTACATTTAGGCTACTAGAAACTTCACTTCTATAATACTGTCAACAAAGTGAGCAATTATTTTGTTGTCTAGTGTTGTAATATAGGTAGGAACCCTACTTTAAGTTCATGAAGTAAACTTAAGTAATGTTGTGATATATTTACGTATTCTGTATGTATGCTAGCAATTATTTTAACATCTAAAAGTGTAATATTGAATTTTAAGTGCACACGTACTTCACAAATGAGTTTTTCATTTGAAGTGTAAGTGAACCTAATTGATGCCTTTAAAAAAACTACGGATTTTTTATACAGAAATCTTTCTTGGTGTATTAGCTACGCTCACCGGCCACTTTATTAGGTACACCTGTCTAACGCAACGCAAATTTCTTATCAGCCAATCACATGGCAGCAGCTCAGTGCATTCAGACATGGTCAAGACGATCTGCTGCAGTTCAAACTGAGCATCAGAATGGGGAAGAAAGGGGATTTAAGTGACTTTGAACGTGGCATGGTTGTTGGTCTGAGTATTTCAGAAACTGCTGATCTACTGGGATTTTTCATGCACAACCATCTCTAGGGTTTACAGAAAATGCTCAGACAAATAGGAAATATCCAGTGAGCGGCAGTTCTGTGGGCCCAAATGCCTTGTTGATGCCAGAGGTCAGAGGAGAATGGCCAGACTGGTTCCAGCTGATAGAAAGGCAACAGTAACTCAAATAAGCACTCGATACAACCGAGCTCTGCAGAAGAGCATCTCTGAACACACAACACGTCCAACCTTGAGGCGGATGGGCTACAGCAGCAGAAGAGCACACCGGGTGCCGCTCCTGTCAGCTAAGAACAGGAAACTGAGGCTACAATTCACACAGGCTCACCAAAACTGCACAATAGAAGATTGGAGAAACGTCGCTGCTCTGATGAGTCTCCATTTCTGCTGACACATTCGG